TTAAAAGTAAAAGTACTGAGTAAAAGTGAGCAGTTAGATTTTCCAAAATGACATTTATTGGGAGGTGACTTCTCCAAAAAATATTTTTTTCTAACGGTGTGCAGCTGTGATTGGTTGTATACAAGCTAATATGGTGTCAGAATAGTATATATGTATACTTCTCATCCAAACACAATTAAATTCACTCTATCCAGGAGACACAATTTATCAGGATAGTTTTTTTTTTAAGTAATAACAGCTCAGAATAAAATAGGAGTAATGACTTTCTACTTCTTACCTTTTAAAAGGTTTAGTGAGTAGAAAGTACAGATAATTGTGTAAAAATGTAATGAGTAAAAGTAAAAAGTAGGCTACGCTGAAAAATAATTACTTAAGTACAGACAACCAAAATCTCTACTTAAGTACAGTAACAAAGTATTTATACTTAGCTACTTTACAACTCTGCCGAAAATTGTGTGCACTGTAAACAACCCTACTGAGAGGAGAGAAGTACAGAGCCGAACGAGACGACTGTAAATGAGAGCTGCTGCTTTGTCAGACAAATTTAATTTAATTTGGAAGCCTTATCACCACGGACTGGCTTCATTCACTTCCTCCACTGCCGTATGCTAAACTACAAGCAGACACTGCGCAGAAAATCAACGTTCTGTTCTCTGATTGGCCCAGACGAAAATTCTCCTGAAGAAATCCTTGTTTATGGGAGAAATCCCAGACGTAGCAGTGAAGGGAAACTAGAATTGAGTGTAACTGCATAGGAAGGCAAGAACCAGGCTAGTTTCAGAGCAGTGGTGCCGAGTTTAAATTTAAGATATTTATTAAAAACTGATTACACTTCCTACACAAATGATTACAGCTCACACATTTTAACACTTCACTGTGATGTTGACACTGCCTTACACATSACCCATCAATAATTTTATATCATCYGAACTTTTTTTTTTACACTGTTTTTAATAACACTGGGCTGGTTAATGCCAAAGCAATAAAAAAACTTAATGGGTAAGCACTAAAGAGCATTGGAGAATAAAAGATATGAAAAATGTGGTACAGGAAACAATTAAAAAAGGCATTAAACTTTAAGTGAACCAGAACTAGAAGCAAAAGGTCAGCTGTGATCAGCTAATGGTCCAAGTGTCTGTTGGTTAGTAAAAGATCAGACTAGCTGTTAAAGCCATGGACACAGTGACATAAATGGGCAAATATAAAGTCAAGCTAACATTTCACAWCACTACAAGAACAGCACATTACGTTTTTAAACCCAAAGTTTGGCTGCTTGTGCAAAATATCAAACTCCTCCCTAATCATCCCTGCAGATGTTCAGCTAGCAACACACTCTCTAGGTGGATGTGGTTTCAGTCTGGACAAGCTCACATGTGCAGCTAGTCACTAGGTCATTATTAGATAAACAATTCCAGGTTTGGACTCAGAATGAACTCTGATGCATGGAGGTATCAAAACAGATTTGCAAGGGGAGAAAGGCTGCTTAACACTTCAAAAATATATAAAAAAGAAATAAAACTTCATATTTTTAGGACTAAGCCTATTTATGTTATTTCACAGTTAAAGCACAGGTTTATTTYATTCCTATGGGAAAGTGCAGCAAAGTGTTTCAGTGTAAATGTCTACACAGTTTTTTACAAAGCTTACATCTCTGCAGCATGAACATGCATTTAAACTAAAAGGAGTCTGGTAACATGAGGACAAAACGCTGTAGGWCTGTTAAAAAGTTTAAAATCCGTTTTAAATTTTAATTATGTTGGATTTATTTTGATTTAATTAGATTTTTTAAGAAACTGATTCTTCTGTTTGAATTTTCTCTAATTTTGTGTTGAGATTTTAGTTTTTGGAGTCCAGTTTGTTACAACAATATATTAGTGTAGTTAAAACTAGTACAGTGAAAACTAGCTGAACTGATTGAAGTTCAAGTTCCTAAATGGTTACAACTTAGTTTAAAACTGTCATGAAAGGCAGCAGTATTAGGACTTATTTACAGTAATTTTCAGAATAGAATAGAATTTTTTTCCAGGAGTCACATGTAAATACAGGACGTTTGCTAGTGTGTGTCCACTACACTCCCACTGTAACCTTCTTTAGAGACATCATACAAAATCTAAGGTTACCTGAGCAGCTCTGCATGCTGAGGTTTGTTGGCCAATCTCCAGGAACCCTGAAGGGTCGASAGCTTTTAGTTTAAA